TGATGTCCTTCTCCAAGGTTAGGTCCCTCCTGGCCACATGCCCAAAGTATGTGAGATGGAGCTTCAGAATCCTTGCCTCATAGAAAGTAGCTATTCTGACACTCCACATGTACACAGGCCCTGTGATTTCATCCTCTCTCTAGAGGTAAGATAACTAAGGTGGGGAGCAAGCTAGGCAAAAAGGGTGCAGTGCACTTCTCCCTCTATTATTTCATATTGTATGGAATGCAAAAAAATTAAAAATTTAAGCATAATCCTAAAAATTTCTGATTAATAATCAGATTAAAGTAGTGACGGCAATGACAATTTGTTTTCAATGTACATGAATCTTTTCAATGACTGTTGTTGTTGTGGGCTGCTGAGTCAGAACTGACTCAGAACTGAAAACCCTGGGTTTTCAGAGGTGGGAAGTCACACGGTAGGAGGCTGCCCATCCCCCTCCTATAGAGCAACTGGAAGATTTGAACCATGTGGCTTTGGGATTGCAGCACAGCTTCTTGCTGCTAGGCCACCAGAGCTCCCTAAAGGCTAATGACATTTTAGTTATAAAAAAAAAAAGTTATTCCAGAAATAGAAAGTAATTTGTATTTTAAAAAAGAAGGGTCTCCACTTTGTAACACAGAAAGCCAAGGAATTTTTTGAGGCTTGGTAATGTGGAAATATGTAGGTCTGGGAAATGATTTTTAAAGGAGCAGCATCTTTCTCATAGCCGACACTCCAGTGGGTTTCTGAGGCTGTAAATAGAACAGGAGGAAACTGCCCAAATTTTCCCTTGGGAGAGTTGAGCTGCCAGAGGAACGGCCTTTGGGTTAGCAGTGCCACCCCCAGCAGACTACACCAGCAGAGCTCCCTAAGAGGAAGCTGTTGTTGTTGATTGCCGTGAGTTGAGCACTACTCATAGTGACCCTATGAACAAAAGGCCTGAAGCCTCTCTGTAACTAACATCATTTCTCCAAGTTCACAGATTTTCAGAGGCATATGGTTTAGGAAGTGGATGCCACTCCTGCGTCCAAACCTGTCTTAAAATGGGAGTCCCACCAAACACTATCCGCCATGGGTAACCATTATGGCATTTGACACCCCAGTGACACAGGGTTCAGCATCACAGAAAACCCAGATTGAGGAAGTAGAGGATCTAAAAGAATAGTTTCTACCTACGGCTAAAATTCTTTAAGATTATAGTCAGGAAGAATTATAGAGAAGACTCCCTATCTTAGCAGGTCGTTTTTTTTGTTTTTGTTATCTCATACCTAAGTATTTTGAAAGACAATTCAATATATTCACTAAGTAATACATATGTGGCAACTAGGTGTGCTACACTGTCCTAGATGGTGGGAAGAAGGCAGAGACCCCACTGTTGTCTAATACATGCATGCAATGTTGTGGTTTCAGTTGGTCAAGTAGTTGGTCGACTATTGTCAAGGTGACTCCCAATTCAAGGTGATCCCAAGTACAGTGGGACCTGTAGTTGTGATCACGGGTTTTCTCTCTGGTCCATCTTAGTATGGCAGGTTGACTGAAACCTGTCCAATATCACAGCAACACACAAGCCTCCACTGAGAGAGGAGTGGTGCGTGAGCATCAGGGGCCTTGGACAGGAGTCAAACTGAGGTCTTCCTCAGGGAAGGTGCAAATGCTGCCACTGAATCACCACATCCCAGGAACACGACAAGAGCTTAACATAATATAAAGTAAAATCAAGATCTGATTTTCAGGGGAGCTCTGGTGGCCTAGTGGCAAGAAGCTGCAACTACAATCCCAGAGGTGCACGGTTCGAATCCACCAGATGCTCTGCTAGGGAAGGAGTGGCAATCTCCTCCTGTACCAGTCAGATCTGATTTGACGTTACACGCACACAAAAATAATAAAATAAAATAAAAAATATTTTTAAAAAAGATCTGATTTTAAAAAAAAAAGATTTGATTTTCTTCTATGTTAGAGTAAGGGTGAAGGGACACTGGGATGTAAGGGAGCAGAGATTCTTGTCATTATATCCTGGAAACTGATAGTTTTTAGTGTCCCTTAGGCCAAATTCTTATGGCCTAAAGTGCCAATCTCTTAGTGGCATACATTTTCCCGCCAACTCCTCACACGCCCCCTGCAGTGACGGTGGTATGCTGCCTTTTCTACAAAGTACATGCATAAACTTCCCAGCCCTCACATTACAACTGCTATGCCTTTTAAGGAAGGTCCTGGTAGGGTGTCCTTACTGGGACATTGGTTCCAAGGACCAAAGCTCACACCACACCCTTCTGCTACTCATGATGAGTGGCCCTTTCTCTGACTCTCAGGCGGTAAGGAGCTGCGTTGCCAACCCAAAGGCATGTAGTATGAAATCTATCAAATGCTCCATAGGATAAAGATGGGCAATCTCCTCCCATGAGATTTAATGTCTCTGAAAATCCACTGGAGGGCCTGCTCTGGGTCGGTTCTAATGCAACAGTACATAAAGCCAACACCAACAATTATCTTTGGTAGGGACCTCTGGTGACTTAGTGGTAAGGAGTTGCATTGGTAACCCAAAGGAACACGGTTAGATTCCACTTGCTGCATCTTAGATGGGCAATCTATTCCTGTGAAATTTACTGCCTCGAAGAACTTGTTGGAGGGTCAGTTATGAGCCGATTCTGACTTGGGTCATTTCTAACAACTGCAAGCTCCATCCCACATACTTTGAGCATGCTGCCAGGAGGGACCAGTCCTTGAAGGAGGACATCTTGCTTGGAAAGGTGGATGATCAGCACAGGAGAGGAAGACCTTGGATAAGATTGACTGACACAGTGACTGAGGTAATGGAGGTTAAGTGTGCTGGAGAGGTGAGATTGGGTCAGGATAGAGCAGGGTCTAAAGCTATTATGCATAGGTTCACTACAAGTCACAGGCAACTTGACAGCACATAACAACAACAATAACTACCTTTGGAGAGAATTTGTAGTTGGCACAAATGGTTATACATTCAACTGCTAGCTGAAAGGTTGGTGGAAGTCACTCAAAGATGCCTTGGTCAACTCTTGAAAACCTGTGACAAGTCTATTCTGCACAAACGCATCTTGAAATGGAATTTATTTTATGGCAACAGAAAGCAAGGATATAAGGGGGGAAAAAAGAATCAACACTGTTTTCCAAGTCTTAGTCCTATATAATCAAGCTAGCCACTGTTGTTGGTTTTCTGTGTAAGATAATTAGAATTTGCACTGGAATGAATACCTCCCAAATTTCCTAGTTTCTCTTTTTTCCATCCTCCTGGCATTTCTCTGTTCTGATACTCTCTTTAACAGAATAGGCAAGCAGGTGGCAAGCTCTTGCATTATGTAACTCTGCTGAAGATGACAGGAATTTCTCACTTATATGTAAAACATATGGTCAATTCACATTTGGTTCACAATTCTAGTCTTAGTGTGGGGGTGATGATTGTATATATCTCTCTCCCCAGGAGCTGATGGGGGATTCGAACCACCAGACAGGGTCGGGCATTAGATCGGCAGTAAAATCCTCTACAGGCTATGCCACCAAGGCTCCCTCTTTATTTCATACAACTTCTGAATCCATATTCTGATGACAACAGAGAAAATGCTTTTGTCTTCTGGACTGACATAGATTTTTATGATTATCATTATTCTGGTGATTTTCCTTAGCCAATCTAGGCTAGAAAAATTGCTCTCACCAAAATCAGTTTCTCTATCACAGGTATCCCTTGCTCTTCAAAAACAGAGTTTTCCCAAGAAACTTCTCATAAGCAGAAACAGACAAGGCAAAGGAGCCATTATCACTAATTTATATGAGAACAATTTCTGAGCATTCTCAAATCCAACAACAACCCACAAAATCATATGAATAGCAGGCAAAACCAAGCACAACACTACACGTAGAGTTGGAAAAGGTCGAAGCTATGGGATGGGTGCTGAGATGCTGAGGATAGATCTCAGAGAACACTGGCGACTCCACCCTCACTACTTGGAGTCCCTTTATTATCTCACTGAAAAACAAATGATCAATCACTTCATTTTTTGTGGGAAAAAAAAAATCCTCAGATGCCCTTTGAGTGAACACAGGTACTAACATAGATTGTCTGAAAAATTGAAGTGGCATTAAGCGAACTTTCCCACGTGAAGAAGACCTGCACTATGTGAGTCAATTCTGGGGAGATTTTCAAGATGTAGTTGAGAGGTTCCATGCTGATAAATGAGAAAAAAGTAAATCTACTAGGAAATTTATATGCCCAGTGTGTTCCATTCACTAGAAGTTTTCTGCTGATCTTAGCACCAGTCCCAAATGAGTGTTAAATCTAATCAGTTTTCATGTGGATTCATGTTCATCATCCTAAGAGACAGTAAATGACAGGTTCTTTCCTTTTCCTAGAACCAGATGATACAAGATGGCATTCCACAAGCACAAACGGACATCCGACTGGCTAAACCTGGCACCCACTCGCTCCTTCTTAGTGGCCAATTATTAGGGTTTCTTGGTTTATTTGTCAGGATGGCTTCTAAGAATCACAAATTATTTTTTCAAATTATTCAAATCTACACAAATGATAAAAACACTAAATCCAACCAACAGCAAGAGTCTAACATGTGCTGGGCTCACGTGGGTCAGAAGAAAAGCCATACAGGCTTTGGGATATTTGATTTTTCTGCAGTAGAACATGAGGCCTTCCTGGCTGGGCTGACGCCTCTAACCTTTGTGTTAACCCCATGTGCCACCCATAGAGGCCATTCAGCGCAAGCTCAGGAGATCCACACAACTAACCGCTCTACCAGGCTCACCAATGAATTCACTAATCCTCTAACGTGACTACTGATGAGCTTCCTGTAACATCACAGATTTACAACATTCTGCAGACAAGGAGCACCCGTGGCTCTACTCCATGGCTCTACTCCCGAGCCTCCACATCTCCTGCATCAAGCAGTCTGCGTCCAGTTTGCATCTGTCATCTTTGTATTCAGAGGCCCCAAGGCTAATGCATGCTGTGAGCAGAGAGGGTCACCCACTGCACTTACCTGGTCTCTCTATCTTTGGGTATTGTAGCTGTGCTGTAAGCAAAAACTTGCTTCTCTATTAGCGGAGGGCCAAGGTCCACCATGCCAGGCATTCCTGACACATTCCGAGGCTTTTCAATGTACACCAACGTGCCTGGCTCTTTCTTGAAGGACTGGCGGCTGGGCGAGGCCCGCTCTGGCTGCAGTGTGTGAGGAGGCCCGTGGGCATTAAGATGTGGGTGCATGTCTATCATTCTCAGGTCCCCGACTCGGTGGGGAGAAGCAGGCGGTGTTTTGGAGCCCAGAGTAGGCAAGTGGCTCTCCATGTATTTCCTGGATTTCTGTCTGTACAGTGACTGTTCCATGTGCATTTCTGCTGGCAAAGTGGGGTTACAATAAGCACTGGCCGACCGGATTGCTGTGCGGTGATAGGCAATGATGTGGTCGGGGACATCCAGAGGGTGCCCACCATGGGAAGAGGCGATGCTCATCCGCCCCTCGTGATACAGATAAGGGTCGCCATAGAAACCTTCATTTCTGTACATGGCGAGATTTTTGACGCTCATGTCTTCATCTGGCTTCACATCTCTTCTTTCTAAAATGGCGCTTGGGCTTGGCGAGATGGATCTGGAGACAGGCAGGCTGGAGAGTCTGTCCCTGGGGATGGTGGCGTTACCCGGCACAACCATAGTGCGGGTGCCCCCATAAGGGATTCTGGACGGGGAAGGAGGCATGGAATGGGGCACAGGCGTGGATGGTGGCGAGTTTGGGATCGCATGGGGTGGGTGTGCTGTAGATCCAGGTCTAGAGGCACCGGAACCATCTCCTCTTGCATAAGCAATTTCTCTCTGCATCTGAAAACAAAGAAAAAAAATTAGCAAATCTACTTTGAAACACATGTTTTTAGAGAGGCCTCCAAGTGACACTATGGGAGGTTGAATATACCTTCCCGTCACTCAAAAGATGCCCACGTGTTAATTCCTGGAAGCTATATAAACATATTACCTTATGTGACAAGAGAGACTTGGCAGTTTAGTCAAGGGTCTTGCCATGGGGTTATCCTGTATCACTTGATGAACCCAATGTAACCTTAAGAGTTCTTATAAAGGAAAGAAGAAACCTGGAAGGTTAGAATCAGAAAAGGAGACATGACAATGGAAGCTGATTCAGAGAGAGGAGGAGGGAGAGGGGATAGACTAACTTTGAAGATGGTAGATGGGGCCATAAGTCAATGGGTGCAGGCAGCCTTTTTGAAGCTGGAAAGGCAGGGAAACAAATTTTTCCTATTGTCTCCAGAGAGAGCACGGCCCTGCTGATAGCCTGGCTTGTCCAGTGAGAAGATTCAGTGGCTTATCCACTGGACTTCTGACCTCCAGAACTGTAAGAGAGTAAATCTGTGTTTAAGTCACTAGGTTTGTGGTTACTTATTATAGCAGTCACACCTCAACACTGTGGTTTGAGGAAAAATAGTGTCATGGTATAAATTTTGAGATCACTGCTTCTCTGTGATTTTTACTCATGAGATATGCGTCTGATGCATCATGTTGTTCCTGTGAACCATAGAGTCAGAACTGGCCCAAATCCTGCAGCAGGTTTCTGGATGTAGTTATATGCATGAGAGAAAACTGCCCATCTTTTCCCTGTGGAGCAGCTGGTGAATTCGAACTGCGTACCTTTGTACTAACAGCACAATTCCTTACCACATAGCCACCAGAGCTCCGCAATGTATCATAAGGGAATTCATAAAATGAATTTTTCTAAAACTGGTCCTGGATATAAATCCTAGTGTGGAACCATATTGGTAAGCATCTTCCCATATGGCTACAATCTAGTGACATGTGCAGAAAGAGGAGAGAGAGAAAAAAAAAAAGAATGCAAGGAGGAAACTCAGAGGAAAGTTTCATTAATTTCCCCAACCCTTTATTAGGACTTCCTGTAAACCAGCACCAAGATATTAGAGGGAGAGATCGTTCTAGAAGGTGAGAGTGCAGCAGGAGGGGAAAGTTACAGTGAGAGGGCAAAGGAGAGAAGAGGAAAGGGGCTCGAATTCCAGGCGTGGCCTCCCTCTCTCATTGCCGTTGAACCAGAACTGACTCCTCGCTGACTCTGCACTGAGGCTGTAAATGGCACAGGAGAAGATTGTCTATCTTTCTCCCCTGAAGCAACAGGTGGCCTAGAACTGACAAGGGGGCACTACCTTTGGGTTAGCAGTTTAACACCTTACGGACTGTGTCACCAGAGCTGAAGGCTCTCTGCGGCTGCCCATTGACACCAGTAAGTTGTTGAGATAGGGCACTGTAAAGCTGCTATGTAGACTGCTGGCTGTGTCATTTTATCACTCAGATTAGAAAAAAAGGGGGACCATCATAGAGTTTCCGATTATAGCTAATGTAGGAGAGACAATCATTGAAGAATAGTTACTCAGAGAAGAGTAAATTAGTCCGTAATTGCAGGGAGCTCGGGTGGCCTAATTGGCAATGAGTATTCTGACAATCCAGAAGCAGGTGGTTGGAATCCATTCGCTGCGCCACAAAACCAAGACAGGCAATCTCCTCCTTTGTGGTTGACAGCCTCTAATAACCCACTGAAGGGTCAGCTGTGATTCTGTTCTGCCTCAATGGCAATGAGCTGTTGCGTGGAGAGTAACTAAAGAATTGAGCAAGGTGCAGGATGAGAAAAAAGTAGAAATTAAGTCAGGATGTGAGTATTTGGTACTTTTCACTTTGATCAAAACCCAAGAAGTGAATGTCCACTGAGAGTCTCTGAAAAGCCATGGAGGAAGGGAAGATGTTGGCACCCTCTCAACTACTCTTCAGGTTCCCTCAAAGGAGCCTGCATTCCCCATCTTGACAACCTTCAGAACAGTGATGACAAGACAGACACTAATGGGTTGGTTGAGCAAGGTTGAGGCATGAAGAGACAGAAGAAGTTTTCAAATATCTTAGAGACCCACAGCCTGGATTGTAAGGGGGAAAGCGAGACAGAACAAAAACCAAATCAACCACCACTGACAAATAAAAGCCAGCAGAAAAAGTGGAAATAAAGCAGAGCCCACAGGCTTGAATAGATACTGTTTTCTTATCATATAAATTAATTCATTTGTTAAATAAGATTTTTCATGCACTTGCTCAGAGCCAGTCATTATTCTGGGATACAGCTCTGAACAAACACAGTGAGTCCCTGCCCTTGGGCGGGCACATCCTAGCATTTATCTCATGGATGGATGCTCTTCTGCCAGCGAGCACACAGGAAGGGCCTCTGGGCTTCCCATGCTTCCTTATCATGTCTCTGGGAGGACCTAGCAGGACAGAATCCCTGACACAAGCGTTTTATACATTATGGAAGATTTTATAATGAAAGTCACCAATGAAGTCTGCAAAACCCACTGTCAGTGAGCTGATTCTGATTCAGCAGTGCTGCAGGGCAGGATAGAACAGTCCTTTCCAAGGCTGACAATCTTTACAAATGCACACTGCCAGATCTTCTGCAAACCAGTTTGAACCACTGACTTTTCAGTTAGCAGCAAAATGTTCAACCACTGTGGCACCAGGGCTCCTTGAAATGACAAACTCACTAGGACAAGTTGGTTATGCTTGACAGAGACTCTTCACTGGAGTTCTGAAGTTGTGAATCCTACGAGAGTAAGGCTGTCCATCTTTCTCCCCACAGAGCCACCAGTGGTTTCAACCCACCTGAGAAGCACAGCCTCTATTTTAGCAGCTCAAACTACTTTGGAAGATGCCCCCAAAGGAAGATGCAAATATGTAGCAACAAAATGGAACATTTTAAGGACACATTATATGAACACCATTGAGTGGCCCTCTCACTCCCTAGTGGACAGACTGTCTCTGGGGACTGACGAACATGCAGGTTCATCACTAACAGTAACAATTCTTTCCCACTAATCCCACCTCACGAAGGGCAATGGTTGTTAAGTGATAGAATTATAGCTTCCATGCAGACGACCTGGATTTGATTCCCAATCAATGCACTTACCAAGCAGTCACTACCCAAATGTCTGCTGAAACTTGTAGGATGCTGAACAGGGGAACTGACAGACTAAGATGAACTAGGAAGAAAGGCCTGAAGATCCTTTCCCCAGAACATAGCTAATCAAAGTCCTTTGGATCACATGCAGATGAAGCAAGGCTAAGAAGTGGTTTGGTCCAGTGTGTAGGAGGTTGACCAGATTTGGGGAACCGCAGTAATACCCATTCCAATATACACTTTCCCATTCAAAAAGTCTAGGGAGCTCTGGTGGTGGGGTCCACAGGAAGCTGCTCTGTTAACCCAAAGGTCACGTCTCTCTGTGGTTTGAATCTACTAGTGGTTCTGTGGGAGAAAGATGGGCAATCTCTTCCTAGAAAATGTACAGCCTCTGAAAACCCACTAGAGATTCAGTTACAAGTCCTTATCAACTCAACTGTAATGAGTTTGAGTTCATTCCAATAGTCTAGTCTCTTCTTCATTCTTTAACCCTAACCTACGATTTCCTTAAGGCATCCTCACCTGCTGAAACTATCCATTCCTGAAGCCCTCAGAGATTCATCCTGAGTCTATTCTCAAGGTCCAGCTCTGGGGGCCCTGCTCTGCGTAGCCCTTTCTGCAACGCTGAACTGGGCACAGTTCTCTCGGTTCATGCGACCCCTGCATGACTCAGATGCTTGGTGCCTTATACCAGGAGTGCTGGGCTCAAGGTCACCACACAATACCATAACTGAAGAAAGGCTTTGTGGCTCAATACAGAATTGTTGCAGCAACCATGTGACATGAGTTTTACAGCAGATCAATGTTGATCCTTTATAGCTGCTGCTCCCACTGTCTGCCACAAAGCAGAGTTTTATAAGTCATAAAAATATAGAAAGAAGTAGCTCAGCCAGCAGGGGAATACCTGGCTGAATTCTCTATTTAATCAGTCTACCCAACACAGCAATCAATCAAAAAGACAGAAGCTAAACTCATTGTATCTATTTCAATGAACCATTGTGACACACATCAGATCAGAAAGATATTTGAGGTTTATCAAATGCAATAAGTGGTGATCCTAGTTTTCCTAGTTCCTCCAACAAAACAAAAAGTTCCAGATAATCTAGAATCCATTTAAGATGAAGACATAGTCCCAACAGGACTATTACTACTCCTTGTTCTTCTTCCCTTCCTTACCTGGCTTCAGATTACACCTCAGTTAAGGGGAATCCCAACCCCAATTCACACAATGTTAAAACCTTCCTCTTCCATGCAAAAGAGTAAAAAGAGGTTTACAGGCCCTAGGAAATACTGAACTGTTTATAAACAAAGAAAGAATAGTAACACAGGAGACAATGTAAAATTAATTACAATTAATGGGAAGTTGAGTGAGTCCTGTCTTAAGAAATCTGTCTATGTTTTTAACATATGCTTGGCAATAAGAAATGGTAAAGAGGTAGATTACATAACTAACTTTTAAAATAAAACGTAAAAATATCACTAGGCATCCTGGTGGTGCGTGGAGGTGAGAGTAGAGAGAACTGTAATAATTAACAATCATGTTGATATGTCATGCATTCAGAGGGAATACATGTGCGACAAGAAAAAATCTACTGTCTAGTACGGCAAGGGTGTCATGTTTGGGGAGGGAGAGGGTCAGTGAGGACGTGGGAAACCTCCTCAGGGAGATGAATTAGCAATCCTCCTAACAATGGACTTGAGCTCAGCAAAGATCACCAGGACGGCACAGGACTGGGCAATATTTTAGTCTGTTACATATACGGTTTCCAGGAGTCAGAGCAGACTTGATGTTGATTAACAACGAAAACAATTTGGCAAGGGCACCACCCAAGCCGAAGGAGCCCTCAGCCAATGAAAGTGGATGCTG